CCCCCCCCCCCCCCCCCCGCTGAAACAAAAAAAAGGCACAACATCCTATACAAATAAAGGAACACACAGAAATATGCTTTGATTCTTAGTTTTGCCATTAAATGGAAACAATTTCTTGAGCTACAATATCTAATGCTCAAGCCTTAAGTTAAGAAACCCAAGAATCTGCCACCCATGTCCCCCACAGCCAACCATTATGGAAGCCAATTTTCTTCGTACCTTGATAATAAAGAAACGAAGATCCCTGCGGGATATTAGACCAAATATTGACTTTTCTTTTCGCACTTATTACTCCACCACTCTTTGAAAGACACAAAAGAATTAACAATTATTTAACCAAATTTTGATACACTTGAGTTGGAACCGAAATTGAACAGAGTAAGAAGAGATGACTTGCACTAGAGAATAAGAAAAAAGAATTATTGTTAATCAGACCTTTGCAACAAAAGAGCAATATCAGCTGCCTCAGGCCGCTTCTGTTGTTTTTGTTGGCCATATATTTGGCATGAAACCACATAAGTAAACTTTAAATCAGCTTGAGCCCTGGCTTCATGTGACAACTCAAAACCTTGTGTGGTGAGGCAATTCATTTGAGAATACTCATCCTCTGTCGGTGAAAAAGATAAAACAACATCATGACCCACATCGCTTCCACTAAAATAAACATAAGAGGCCACAAGAATCCCCAAAAGATAATACCTCCCAATGATCTCCTTTCCAGATAACTTTGTAGCATTAATGCCCTTCTATAATACATCATCCCACGTACTGCATACCCCGTTATTAAAACACTAAGCGGTTATACATCAAGGAAACCCTAAAAGCCTTTTGAATTTACCATAAAATACATAATCCTATTTGGAAAATAGAGAATCAATAATGGGTGAATCTAACCAGTCCTAGCTAGAGTTTGGCCTCGATAAGATGCCCAAAACCGGAGCTCCAACGAATCAGTAGGGTTTTCTTGAAGTTCAACTTCCCCAGCATCAGGTCGACCGATTCGTTCCAAAAGATTTGCCCATTCATCTAAAGTTAGCAAAAAAAAATGCAAAAGAAAGGTAATGTAAGATTTCAAAAACTAGACCACTGTAAGGAAATGAGAAAGGACCTCTCAGAAGTTAATCAGGGAAAGAAAAATCTCACCCTCATATTGATCTTTCCAGCGCCAGAAAAGTATCCAAGGACAATTATCAAGTTATTGAATTGACTGATGCCAAATGAATGAACTCAATTTATACTACCATAAACACTAATCACAGCATACACATAAATATCCAGAACCAGACATAAATTTTTACTCAGAGGCTTCACATTTGCAATTATCCTGGTTAAGCACAATTTTAAGTTAGATTCTAATTCGATACAAATATACAATAACCTAAAAGTTTGTCCCGTGACTTTTTCTAGATAATTTTTTTGATTTCTGTGGGGAAGTATAGGCAAGTCCATGCATATTGAGCATCAAAGCATATCTTTTTAAAAGCACAACTGTACATTTATGCAGCATCAGCTAATAATGAATTTTAGTAAGATGTGGCCACAACACCTAATTACACATTGCATCATTCACATATCTCGGAAACAGAAGAAACAGTATTACCAATGAGCAGCTAGATGTGAATAAAGATATGAACAATAAAACCGTGCCAAAGACATGTTTTACCACTCGAATCTACCAAATTCATGTTCTAGTATGACCTAATGCAACTCCAATAAATATAAAAACTAAAAAAAAAAAAGGCAGTGATCCGATTTGTTCCTGCATTCACAAACAAGCTGTGTGTCATTCCAACAGTGGTGAGGCAGACATACATCAACTTTACCAGAAAGGAATTTATTTATAACCCATATTTCCATCAAAAAAAGGTCCAAACCAAACAAAAAAAGGTACAGAGGGGCACAGACCAATGAATCACCAAACTGTTTCGTATGATTAAACAAGTCCAATACACAAGGTGTAGTGGGAGAATAAAAGAAGAAAGGAGCAAGGGAAAACTTAAACTTTGATAAAGCATCATGCTCAAACAAGCAGCAACAATGAAACGACAAACAGAGACAACTGTAAATATGTTATTGCAAAGCAGCAGCAACAAGTAACAATGGACAAAAAATCAATGTTACAGAAGGCAACTAGCCTAGCTGGAAAAGTTTTTAGGCAGCTGTCCTTGAATAAAACACCACATTCATAAGAGTTCGTGGTTATAGGTAAGGAAGGATTAACCCACACCATGAATCTCAGCAATTGGATCTCTCCACCACCCCAACCATCAAAAAGGAGATAATTTACCACTAAATTCCCTAGCACTTACACATAATACACCTGTTCCAGAACAAATCATAGAAACTACACAAACATGGACTCTTAGGGGGAATCATATGTTAGTAATAAACTTTCAGACTAAAAACATTCGAGGGAATAGTATGTGTATCATGAGAAAGTTATGACAAATCACAAATATACTTCTACTTCGAATTAGCCTGATATACACACGGGAACAAATACATGAATTCACACTTTTAAATTCTTACTTGCAAAAGATCAAGTCATTCTGAATTTTTTAAAAAAACCTGTATAGGTATCACATGCAATGAAGCTCCCTTTTGATTAAATCAAGAAGTTCGAAAGTACAAAAATGAAAGATAAAACTTTAAAGATATGCAGAAAGGGAATGCAAATGAAATGAAGTAGCCAAAAAAATATGCAGAAAGGGAATGCAAATGAAATGAGACAGTTGCTGATTGCCATTGGTATTGGCATGCATCTACAACAAAAATAGGATCTACAATACGAAAAATTAAGTTGGAAATCACTACATATAACAGCCAAAATATTAGGTTGAACAAATTTTATCTGTATTCATGTAACTTTAACAGACAACTGATGTTCTCAGGAATACTAAGGCTTAATGTTATTCTGGACAAAGATGGAAAACAATATAAAATAAGACGACCAAACAATTCCAAAAGAAAAAAAAAACCTGGAAAAATCTTTTGCAGATAGAAAATAATAGATATTCCATCTTCATTTTCAGCCACCAACTCGGAGGAACTATAAAGTACAGTCTCGCTGTAGTATGGAGTGAAGACACTATTCTCAAACAAAACCAAACAAAGAAAGACAAAATATATTAGAAAAAATAAACGAAAAGTCACGTCCAAGGGAAAATTCAATAAAATATACCTGAATGGCATCATTTCAAAAACTGGCCTTGCTGGAGGCATGTCCATAAATAACGAATTTGAGAAAAACTCTAATCTTCTTCTCGCTTCAAGATTCTTTGGAATATTTGCTGCAGAATCCTTCACAGTCAGAAATAGGTGCAACCGTTTCACCTGCTCCTTCTGTGCCCAAAAAGAACACAAAAATTATAGCAGCTCTAGCTATATAAAATACGTACGAAAAAAGATAACACAAATGCTTACAATTTCAGGATCTTTAGGCCATTCGATCCTAGAAAATAGGCGCCCTTCATTTCTTGCTCGTGCCAATATATGCCAGGTATCAAGCTGCTCTCTGGGGATCAACGTATTTTTGTATATTTATGTTAACCCTTTAAATTTTAGATGAAAAAGGTAAACAGGCAATACATAATCTTGAAAGCAGTAATGTCTAGCCAATTGCATACCTCAAATCCGATGACAGCAGATCATGTGTAACAACCTCATACAGCTCATATGTGGCTTTGGCAGCACCTTTTGCAAGTTCAGGATCATCCCGCATCTATAACATTTATGTAGTGAAAATGGACCAAAGAACAAGAATGAATCTATGAACTAAATTTAACACTTCAAAGAAACTACTTCTTGAACTAGGAGTAAATAACGAATCAGTAAAAGATAGAGATACATCATACAACCTAAAAGTATCTAAGCAAAAAGCCTTCTTGTTCTCGACCATTAAAACAATAAAAGGAATTCCCTTGGTTCCACATTCACTTGGTTCAGGGAGAATATTACCTTGCGAGAGGGTAATGGGAGAGAATTCATTTTTGGGAGGATACTTGGAATGGTGAGTCATTCTTTGCTTCATTATTTCCTAGCCTTTATACATTTTCAGGTTTTCATAATGCCTCTGTGAAAAGCTTGCTTTACAATTCTCATTTTCTTCTTATGGGGGTTGAAACTTCAATTTTTTTGGCTCTCAGGGTGTTGGTATATTTTCTGCCTTTGCTTAATTTTGCCTATTTGGCTGCAACGGTTAATTATAAGAGAGTTTGGTCTCCCGATTTTTCTGGAAATTTCTCTTGTAGTTCCTATTTTCAACAATTGGTTGATGTTCCTAGTGATTCATTCTTTGATCCTCACAAGATGATTTGGAAGGCTAGAGTGCTTATAAAGGTACATGTGTTTGTGTGAATGATTGTTCATGGTAAGGTAAACACTTGTGACTTGTTGCAAAAGTGAAGAAAAGACTTGTAGCCTTTATAAGTGGGTCAACCAAGCATAAATTCTTTAAACGGTCGGTGGTGTAAGAGGTAACCCCTGAACAAAACAATTCAAAACAACTGGATGCTACTTATATCATTACAATTTTTAATGTGTACAAACATGAAGATGCAAATTATCGCAATTGAAAGATAATCGCAAGTAGGTAAAGTACTCCCAAATATTTACCAGGGCAGGGCACAATCACATTACTCCTCGTACTGCTATGACACCAAAATTTATAAATGATTCACGCAGGAGGATGTTTCATAGTTCTTCCAAATATTTCCACATATTGAACCCATAACGCCATCTTGTTAACCAAAAGTTCAACAAATTCAGAATCTTTTTCTTCTTTTTGCATTATTAACAACATCCACGATTCATTCCATTAATAGGAATCTAGGAAGCACGGTCAATTCGATTAAACATCCACTGTTTTAATTAAATATCATTAAATCCATAACATTCATAGTCCATAAATTACATAACAAAAAACAGAAAACCAAAATAAAGAAATCCTACACCCCTGTTAATAGTTAACAGCCGTGAGATTTAAAAAAAAAAGGCCTAGTCGTATCCTGATCATATAGTGTCCTTGTCCAATTGAATAGTTAATTCACTATTGAGGATACTTATAGCCGTGTCAGTCCAGTGTTTGACACTCCAACGACCCCTCTCCAGCAAATATCTGTGCTTCTAAGATAGGGATTAAGTAAATTTGTGCTAAATTTCAGAAGTCTTTAAGAAAAATATTTATTTTTTAAGCCCAACTAGTACAGAAATCACTACAACAAAGAACTGCACCGCACTATTATTTCTGGAAAAAATTGAAAACTTCATTTATGACCACATGAGGTCAAATACCATTTTTTTCTTCTTTCTTTAAGGGTAAAGGCATCAATCTAAAGCTCCAAGCAACTTAATGAAAAGACATTATAATTGAAAAAAAATGGATGAGATATCAGCATAGAAGCACTAATATAGGTCAAACATATCACCAAGCTTATATGTAACAGAAGTTTACCAGGAGCCCGGTCAATGCTGTAAATTTTTGAAGAACCGCTGGCAGCTTCTTAAGAGTTAAGGTTATTACAAGTGAATTCTCCAATATACTACTGTTGATCTCACGAAAAATCCTTTCAACCCTGTCAAAGTGGAAGTTATGCATTCAGGAGAGAATGGTTTTTTGCCCCATGGGGGAACCTCCCTGAGAACTACGAAGTGTCTTTATCAAATGGAACAAATAAAAACTAACTGAGAAGACAGAAGCCCAGTTCATGCAGCCAAAGTTTAAATATAACCATACCAAAGTCTCCCTTCTCCATCAACCAAGGAAAGCAAAATTTTTTCAGCGCTATAGTAGCACTCCTTAACAGCATATGCCATATACTCATCCCTGCATATTCTACTCCAAAGATCAGATTGTGTATCTTTGCAATCCAGAGCTAAATCAATAGCCAACAAGATCTGCACAGAAAATGAAGTGTTAAACAGAAATAAGATGCGACCAACTACAAAATTTGTTGGCAATCAAGTTAGCCAGGTACAGTATAGCCGGTTGCACCTTACTGCTGAGAAGAAACAACGGCCATTGAACTAATCTCAGGCTTCCAGCATTGCTAGGCATAGAAAGCAAGTCCATCTCCCTGAGGAACAGATTCATGCACAGATCCATGAAATAAATAGATACTAACATCGAACGAAGCAGACAAGACAAGGAAAGAAGATCCAAGTTTTCATAACCAAGTAGCATTCTTCGTCCATATACCTATTGCTAATGTAATCTTCCTCTCTCAAGCTTTTGATTATCTCATTCCAAAATGGTGAAAAGATGGCTGCAAGTGTCGTGTTGGTATCTTGGGAACTCTGCTAACCATAAATATATTCATTCAAAAAGATCCAAGCCTACAAAAGACAGGAAGCACTGCAGAAGAAAAATACATAGACGCCAGAACACAAATATTTGCAGCACACAAGCTTCTTTCTAGGGGGAAAGGAGCAAATTACAATCACCTCCATGAAGAAATACTAGAACCAAAAGATAAAAAAGGAAAATCTAATGAACCATAGGGCTCATACAGATATCTTAAGAGCCTTGCATATGCACAAAACAACACAAGCTTTCGAACAAACGCAGCTGTATGAACAATAACATTTTGTCACTTAAAATGCCCTAAGTTAAAAAGTTATGGATAGCCCCCATACATAAGGCAAAAAACTGGTGTACATGAACATGACAGTAGAGTAACCTCAAATAAAGATCATTATGAAATGAGAGGTGAACCATAAAATTATATTGCAAAAAGTCAGAAGTGGATAAAACTACTTGTCACGGGATCCCAAGCTACAACAAAGATCACCACATGTTTAACTACTGAATGTCACCACTCAAGTTTACCTCTATAATATTTGTAGCTGAAAGTATAAAATGGAGTCTTTTAAGAAGGTTTGATGAAATACAACAAATACCAAGCACATTCATGTCTACTGCTATCAATATACTGTCAACATAAACACTGAATCTAAAATAGCAGACATGTCAAGATATCTACTGTAGCAAGGTTGATACTCTATTACTCACCATATAGAACACAAGAAGCCAATAAAAATTCAAAGACATTACCCACCTGAGATGATTGTCTGTTAAAAGGTATCCTGTAAGAGCGCAGCAACAAACAAGTCACTCAAATGTAAACATAAAGAAAGCAAAAGCATACAAATAATTAAAGCATCATAAACCAACTCGACACAGTTGACAATTTTTAATTGCAGACAAATTATTCGAATTCACAAGAAAGTCAACATCAACACAACACACAGCAGAAAAATAGAAGTCGAATTATCAGTAAAACTGGACATTCCAGCCTCTGCTCAAAAGTCTCACACACCACACATCTTGCTCAAACAAAACAAGTGTACATAACTGTTGGTGACTTCTATTCATGAACTGGATTGTCATAGATAACTAGACTGTAGGTTCCAATTTCTATGAGAGTCCGGTGACGGTATGAGAATCAAACAGACCAGTGTATCAGAACCGGACCGGTCATCTAATCCGTAAAGGGACTGGGTCAATGGTTTATTGGTTTAACCGTTGGGTCAATGGTTTATTGGTTTAACCGTTGGGTCAACTGGCCGAACTAGTCATATAATAAAACAATAAAAAATGTCATAAATATTATAATATATAATAATTTAGCTAAAAAATATGAAAACATATCCACAATAGATATAATTTGCCAAAAATTAATGAATAAGATTGATTTTTTTTTTTAAGAGTGAATAAAGATTGATGAATAAACTCATAAAGACAAATGGCAACCACATATGTTGCCTTTAAAATTGATGAATAAAGAATTCATCAGCTAGCATACACGATTAGCTGGCATACACGCAGTGAAAGAGAGAGAGGCGATTGAAGCGTCCCTAGAGAGGCTGACCGAGTTCAACGTGGAACTTTGAGGGGAGAGTAATCGATAAGTGGTCACCTCCCTGGAGCTGCTATTCGTCGTCGGAGTGGTCACCTCCCTGGAGTTGCTGTTCATCGCTGGAGTGATCGCCTCCCTAGAGCTTCTGTTCGTCGCCAAAGTGGTCGCCTCACCTAAGAGTGGCCACTGAACTAAAGTGCAAAGTGTAAATGGTCTATGCATGAGATTGATTTAGGGCAAAATGGCCTAAAAAGAGGATTTTTTAATGAAATTTCAACCGTCCGGTTTGAACAAACCATTTGGTTCACAAGTTTGGTCTAAAACCGGCCGGTTTTCCGGTTCTCAACCAATTTGAGTCCTTATACGGTCTAACTAAAGAATTGGACCATTTTAGGTCCCGATTCGAGGTTGAACGGTCCAACTAGCCGGTTCGCTCCGGTTCTGATAACATTGTTTTACAGTGAATGGAGCATCAAAAGGAAGATAAACTCGCAACATATTCACACCGTGAGTATATCTCAACCCAATAAAACGATGGCAAACTATATATATGGCCTCAACTAAGAGAACTTCACTCTATGCATAAGATTGCCATGAAAACATCATTAGCTTTGGATCGATCAATGTAGAGGACATATAAGAGCTTTAACACTCTTGAAGAGTATTGCAGTAGACAAACTTCATCACTTCTTAGCACTTGGTCCACATGCTAATTCACAAAACGAAAAGGCAAAAGGAGAAACAACAAACTCTAGCCACTCTATTATATCAATGAGTTCAAACCACAAAGTAATGACATGAGTTCAAACCACAAAGCACTCTATTATATCAATGAAGATTGAAGAGCCTGAACACATAATAAAATTTACTAGTTGATATTTAAGTAGCCTGTCCAAAATCCAATATTCGGTGGCAAGTTGCATGAATCGAGCATGTGCAATTATGGTGATAAAAATTGTAAGAAAGGAAAGAGATCCAAATGCTTTGGAGGCATACACTTTTTCAGCTGCTGTTGGTGATTTGGGCAGAGTGAGATGCATGCCTTAGATATGTTTCTTGGGCTAAAAAAATTGGATTGTGTTGTCCGTCCTTCTACTTGATTAATTATGCTTGAAAATTCAATTGTTTTTTATCAAAAAGATTGCAATCTCCAGCATCAAACAAAAGGTGGCAAGACACACAGCCAGATCCCCACCTACTTTCTCGATAAAACAACAGAAACCTATCAACAAGATTTTCATAGACTAATTCCATATTAATAATATTATCACACTCCTTAGATTCCTCTAAAGCCAAATTGTTTTCAATACAGACATGAACAAGCACCAAGATCATATACACATGGAACTAAGATCTAGCAGAGAGCAACCGGAGGTTTACTACCAAACTCGACCAAGCCACCTCTAACTACACACGGTAAACAAACCCCAATCATATACTATTTTCAGTTTCCAAAACCCATTTAGAAGAAAAGAATGCAGACTTATAACAAAATAGCTACCACTAATTTGACCAACTGGAGCAGTATAAGACACACACAATATTTCATTTAGCTCCTAGCATTACAAATAGGTACAATTATTACATAGATTTTAGATTCACGTGAATTGACACACCACTTATTTATTCCGTTCCAGAGCCAATATCTATGAGCAAACAAAAAGACAGTTACCTTTTTGTCGGTGATGAGACAAGATTGTTGACAAAAGCTTCTGGAAAACTCTCAAAGCGTTTATGCAACATTTCAATTGAACGTATCTGCCGAAAATATATAACTTTAAGTGATCAGACAGCCATGAGTCTTGGAAGTGAATGGAGAATATGATCTCTGACTTGGGTGCAGAGCCTATGCATGCCTAAAACAGATCACTGAAAAGGCTGAATATTCACATGAAAATCCATAACTCAATATGGTAATACCTCGCCTAACCGAGCCCTTGCACCAGTTACACCACCAACAACCGCAGATAAGATAGTGTAAAATATGTGAATGTCCATGAGATATATCTGAAGAATAGAAAAGGAAAGAGAAAAGATCAGCATTCCCCTAGTCAAGTAACCTTCTCAACTTGACAAGATTTTGTCCCAGTTGCCTGCATGAATCTTGTTTCAAGTAGTTCATGGGCAGATATTGAAAGAAATTTGGGAGGATAAAAATGCAAGTACCCAGATAATGTGCCACGACCATGAATTATCGAACACTTAGCCCAAATTTTGTCAAGTGGAGAGAGGTGAAAAAGTAGGCAGCACAGATTAGGTGTCATAAAATAACACCTATCCAGAAGTGCCATAGTACTCCAATAAGTGACCGGATTAAGATTTTTTGTGGTGAAAATAGAACCTAGTCAGAACAAGGTACAACTGATATCTTGGACATCGACTGTCATTTTCATGCCAGCAATTGTTTCCCTAATACATTATTTTCAAACAATCATCTATTATCACAATTGGGGATTCATAATCCTACACTGATATAAGCACGACATATCAGAAATGTTTACCAACTTGACCTTGACGAAATTCATCTGACAAAAAAACTGCGTTAATGGCATTTCTAAAGTTGGAGTACACAGACTACACAAAAACCGAATCACTATAAAATGAATGCTAAGAAGCTAATGGATAAAGGACAACACTTACAGCCACAACAGGAGCCCAAAGGCTAACTATGGTCAGGATGTTATTATTGTCTGCAAAAGAAAGCATAAACATACATCAGCAACAAATACCTATACTTTGTAACTGTAACATTACCAACAGTAAACAGAGAAGAAGCTTCATGCAAACAGCTCTTGCATGCAAGCTAAACTATTTTCAGAAAAATAAAACGTCACTACCATCCATCCCAAGTGACATCCATATACTGTGATTTAAAGCCACCATCTCTTGGAACATTCATACTTGGAAGTACTACCAAAAGATCCTCACATTGGGCTTTCTAAAATGCATTAGACAAATCAAATTTCAGCTAGCATAGCACTATGCCAAAGTCAACAGCCCTACAACCAAGGTCTCAGACATTTTCTTTTCCAAAGAAGGCAAGACATGCGAGTCCTTTAGGGTATAGCAGTCATTGATAATCAATGGAAAATGGACACCACACACTAAATCTATTTAGAAATCCGCATGTCATGCCATTAATATGACAAGAGAATCTAAGAGATGAAAAATAAATAAATATAGTTGCAATCATAACATTTTTAAGCAGGATGGATCCTAGGAAGGTGTAACATGCTAATATAGGTATATAAACATAAGCACCACACTTATTATAAAAACATATAATTTTTTTTTCCTAAAATATGTGATGAGTTACAACAGGTCTTTATTAAAGAAAAGCCACAAGAACATATACCAAATTTGTCATAGATCTCCTTCAAAGGGCTCCCGTCCCCTCTTACATTAAGTGAAAAATTTTTAAAAAAAAAACCACGAAATTATGTTACTATATAATAATTTGCTGGTGAAAAGAAGCGGCATTCTTTTCCATCTCCCCTTCCTGGTCAACCAAAGAAATGGAAGGTAAGCCAGCCTACCTTCCCTCCGTTTACTTCTACACCTACTTTATCTTTTCTCTTTTTGGGTGTGCAGGAGGCAGGAGTACTAGTAACTTCTACAACTTAATTTGAATAAAGTTGGATGTTTTGTAGCATTATATCATTGCATTATGGACAAATGATAAGAATGCCACTGAAAGGATATATGATGTGTTAGGAGTGCATATGATATGAGGCCTTATACGCCTTATTTATTATAAGAACAAAAAAATAACTGGGCTTACTCTTTGAGAACAAATCATGCCATGAGTATGGCAGTGCTGGAAGGTTCGCAATAGTATTGGTGGGATCCACCAGGGGTTGAATCTGCAAAAGTAATAAGAAGTATGAGTCTGTCATAAACCATGGGCCTCCAACTACGTATGACCAAAAAACCCCAAAAAAAATATTGAATGGAATTAAGGTAAAGGCTTTATGCCTTACCATGAGAAAGTAGGCAAATGAGAATTTGCACCCAAAGATCACCAACCAGTAGAACACATACCTGTGAGAGTTGAAAGAGAGATGAAGTTTTAACTTTAAGATACTAAAGATAATAAGGCACTGTTTGTTGTAAGACTGCTTCAAGATTTAAAAAAAAAAATGAAGTCAGGAGACTATGAAAGTTCCAGCCAGATGCAAGAATTAGAGAACGTTTAGTTTTGAAGTCAAAATGTAAGTTGTACTGTAGAAATACGAGTGGCTTGTATATTTTTTATGAGAAAAAACCCCATCCAAAAGCACCAAAGGGGGGACACAAATGCTGTCTGGACAATGCATCCAAAAGAAGCAAGAAAACATTTCCCGAACTATGCTCTCCAACAGAAATTCCACACAAAAAGAAAGAGTCTGCCAACACAAAGAATCACTGTTAATACACAAGGGGCTTCGTTTGTTTAGCATGAAAACACTAGAAAGTGCAGGAAAATGAAGTAAAAAATTAATGTGTTTGATGAGCTAGACGCTATAATTTCTCGAGAAAGTCTTTTTTCCCTCAACTACCAGATTTTCCTGCAAACGTCCACTTCGGTTTCCGGGAAAAAAAATTTACTTTGAGAGTAGCCCTTTTTTCCTGTTTTTCCTACTTACCATGTTCCCCATTTGAGCAAATTTCTCGAGAAAGTCTTTTTTCCCTCAACTACCAGATTTTCCTGCAAACGTCCACTTTGGTTTCCGGGGAAAAAATATTAATTTGAGAGTTGCCTTTTTTCCTGTTTTGCCTACTTACCATTTTCCCCATTTGAGCGATAGAAAAAAGAGAGAAAGATAATGGCATTATCTTATCATAAGAGAGGCATACTGGGATTACATTCTTGCCTTCATCTTCTCCAAATCTCACTCTCTTTCGAATCATGTGGTTAGCATACATTAGATAATTTTGTCACACCAAAAAAAAAAAAAACAAATTAGAAATTTTAATGTCAAATTATTGGGTTTTAAGTCCTCAGAATATAATTAATAGCCCTTACTGATGTGTAAGACTGACATGATAAGGATAATTTAATTTTACTACTTACATAAATTTTTCTATAGTTTTTTAACAAAAAATTTCATACTAATCAAATGCATACAAAAAAATATATTTTATTTTTCCCATCCTTTCATTCACTTCACTTTCTACTACTTTCATTTTCCATCATAAATTTCTTTCTAACCGAACAGAGTCAAGGAGAGAACGCTTGACCTCAATTATCTAATCACATGCTTGACCTCTATTTAAAGGACCACATAGTCGTCTCCCTTACCAGCCATCTAAAAGATATGATGAAAATTGAAACCCTGCCATTTTTCGGAGACAAATAGATGACAATACCATCAGCCATGATACTGGCATCGATATCTTTTAGGCTAAATCCTTGCCACCATACAACTTCCTCACTCAACTATAGAAAGCTTCTAACAATTACCAAGTTGCATTATATCAACTATTTTTGTATACATTATTTTGAGCTTTGGCTGTTTGCTTGTTCAGTCAAAATCAATGAAAATAAGGAACACTCAATTGTAGAACAGTTGCTTGTGCATATTTCAGAAAGTTCTCTGAATGACCCATTAAATCCGTATTACCTTCCTTCATATGATATACAAGAGATTTACCAATAAAACATGCAACAAAAAGCAGGAGGATTAATAATTCTTAGCAGTAAAGGACGGAAAACACTGAGCTTCAAAATGTAGATAGGAAGTAATACTAGAACAGCTACATTCTCCAAACATAAAAACAAAGTTAAAATGACAGGACACAATGGACCAGATAAAATGACAGGACACAATGGACCAGAAAGGTGCAAAAGAATTTCTTTGGAGGAAGAAATCAAACACCAGATATATTCTTGACCACAAATTTTAGACCCCAAAGAGAAAACAATATTCCCAAAAGAAAAAGTCCTCAGAATACCCACATAGAGTAAATACTTCAACAATGAAAACAAATATGTCATTAAACCAAGTATCAGAGAAATAATGAACAACAAACATGATATACCCAGTTTCCAAAAGAACGACAACAAACCTTATATAATCACTGGTCCTTTCATAAAGACCACGGCCTACAAAGTATCGCTCCTGTAAATAGCCAGAAATTTTTTTGAACACGAAGGTTAAAAGAACCAGCATTGTTTAAACAAAATTGCCTAAAAAGCTTACTGCAGCTTCTATACCTGATAAATCCACTTGAAAAATTGAAAAAATGACTGATCAGACACTTCAGACAAGGCATGACATGCGGGCAACTTCAGCAAAATTGCAAAAACTAGGCGTAAAGCAGCATAAACACCCAACACAAGTATATAAATCCGGAAATAGAATGAATCTGAGGTACTTCTACTCCTTTCTTGCAAAACTTTCCTGCAAAATTTCATTTTCGTACCATGTGAGCTACTAACATTAACAATCATCAAGTGTCAGTACACTGCCAAAGCATATTTAACAAAAGAACCATAAGCTTACACGTAGACATATGTCACAAAAAGAGAGGTCAAGCAACCCCAGAAAAACCTAATAACCAGCCTTGATATGGCCATGGCTCTCGCAGAGGAGTAAGCTCCAAACATAAGGAGGACGTCCAGACAGCCTAGATAAGCATCAATGTGAACTAATGAAAAAATGGAGGGAAAGGAAAAGGAAAAAGCAAATATATTTGAGTACTACTACAAAAGGACATGGTAAAGAATAAGAACCTACTTTCCAAGAAGTTCAATATTGCAAAAGTTGGACCAATGCTGAGAATTGTTATAAATGTATTGCGATTAATCTTCCCATCATTAAAGGCTATAATTGTCAACACCTGGAATCAAAAAAATTTGAAAAAAAAAAAAACAAGAACAAAAACTCAAGAGAACAACCTGCATCCAATATATGATAAGGTAGCATTTAGCAAAACAAAATTTACCTGGAACATTACAATTAAAAAAACCCACATGCGATGAAAACTTCGGTACAAGTGAAGATATGTCCGATGCTCAACGAATGTGCTTTTCCCAGTCTGCCAGTTCAGATATTATCAAAATTAGAAGAGGAGAGTAGAACTCAAACAAAGAGATAGAATCAACTTGTAATAGATAAAAACTAACACCAATTCGAAATTGGTAAGTAACCCCCATCATGTCTAAACAACAGAAGAAATTTAATATATTCAAAAAATCTGGAATAGATCCTACCAACAGATTGGTGTAATCCTTCATTATTTTCCAGAAGAGTGGACAGAACTCAGAAGTTAATATGAAACTTCGGAGATTTCCAACTAGACTAATATCGCAGGGCCTCGCACAACATAGAATTTTTAACTACACTAACCAGACTTTTGAAAATTTAACAGAATGACACGAGGGAAATCAACGATGCAAAACGGCCACTGAGAAAACCAACATAACTAGAAATTAATAAAAAACATTAAACTTATATAACAGTCTTCTGAGTAAGAGTAATAGCCCAGGAGAAATTTGAACTTTCAGAATAGAAATCCCAAAATGGTGGATGCTACAAAAAGGCATATAAATAGATGCCTATCTAAAAAAGAGGAAGAAGGAAGAAGAAGGAAGTTTTCCAGGTTCCAAAGCTGTAACTTGATAGAAAGTATCATTACTAATATAACATTCTTCTAAGTAAGCGCCTAAGGAATTTTGAAATTTAAGAGTAGAATTCCCAAAACCACAAAAGAAGAAGACGAAAGTATAAGAGACTTGTCCTGGAACCTACCTGAGTTTGACCAAGCCCTCCTCCACCCTTTCTCCTAGTTAGTTTATATGTCACAGGGCCTGATTATGGACCATAGAGTAGTTCCCACAAAGTGGTCCCTTTGGAGTCATCTGACATTTCAGGGGCAGATCCAACAAGACCAACTTTTGCACTTATTATATGGAAATCTGATCATCATCTTTTATGTTAAATTTGCAATAGTTTTGTTTTAGATAGAAGAAGAATTTTATTATAGAATGGAAGGAGAAAACCGGATCCCCAATAGTTTGAAACAACTTAACAGCAATGGTTATCTAGAAAATCACAAACATATTCACAACAAAATTACGGAGCACACTCAGATCAGCTTTCAGTTTTTTAAGATCCAAGTCCAGACGACTTATATACCATAAAAACAAGAAAACCCAATATCAATAATTGCATTGGAAACATTAAAAGAAAATGACAGACAAACAGAGCTACATTTGATAATTAACTCCAGAAAAACTGATAGACACTGGAATACACCAAACATAGAAATTTTTTGTCAAACACCACCATGATAAATAACCAACCCTTTGGGACTTTTTGGGCTTCAACAGAAATGACGAATCCTTTTTCATGGGCCAGTTCAACTCAAAGCATGCAGGTGACCTACAATAACATTAGAGATGACATCACAAAATATAGTTCTACAACTTGGGAGCACTATCAAAATCAAAATTAGTATTTTGCAACAAGACAAACCAAAAATATTCATTAAAATCATCATAGTTTCGCCATGCTGAGTGTGCAGCCTTCCCATTATTGTTTATAGCAGCTTCCTGCAGATAACAAGAAGAGCCTAAACATGCCTCATACATCAGCGTAAAAAAGAAAAATAGACTACAATGAGCATTCTTATACGCAGATGGGACGCTACCCAAAAAATAACATATAATAGAAATTATTGAAAATGAGATTTCAGAATGAAAAGCTAGTGGCCTATCACTATTTGTATGAACTATCACTATAAAGGGAAAGTACGAGAGCCAAAATGAAAAGCAAGTTACTTATCACTATATGTATGCCAAAGTGGAAAGCCGGCAGAGTGACACAAGTGTATGACAAATGTTTCGACCGATCACAAGACAAGCAGTTTCTTTTCAAAAACATTGCTTGCAGAATATCACAGGCAGTTTCTTTTTGAAAACATATTTGAAAAATATATTTCAAAATGTGGATTCGTAAAGAAAAAAAAACAACTTTCTGCTAGAACCTCTTTCATTTATCGTTACATTCCAGCAGAGGCGTAGCTTCTTAAAGATTGACTAAAGAAGGACCTCAATGGATATTCAAGGTCTTAAGCTTTCTTTTGACTTATGAATCACCAGGAAACAGCTGTATCACAGTTTGGGAGAAGAAGCTTTCTGTATCGCAAACTCATTGCGAGTTAAGACCCCTTTTACACTTATGTCAACTTTGAGCAGATCACTGGCATCAAGGAGATCCAACAAATCACTAGTGGCCAGTATTTACAGGAGAAAATAAATAATACCACTATGATGTAATACAGCCAATAAGTCAAGTTTTGAAACCAAATGAATAATTTACTATGACACTGTCTACTGAAGAAAATATGGGCAAGCTCCAGACATAGTACAAAGACTGTACACATCAGAAGCAATATTCCAACAAACTACAAATTCAGGAAGAAGAGCCCGGATACAAGGTCGTGAAACACAAGAATAGATCTACAACAAGTCCTTAGCTTCAAATTAAGATGGAGAACTCGGAGCAATTTGTACATCGTTTTTCAGATTCTTTTATTCATTCTCTCATTAAAAAGACTAAAGAAAAAAGAAAAAGAGCAGCCAAAAAAACAGCTTTCATGGCCTAGTTTTGCGTGTTCCCACATTAAAAAAAATAAAAATAAATAAATAAGCTCAACAACCATATGATCTTCAAGGCATTCATAATTTGATTTATTTAAGGAAGAAGAAAAGATATTGTGCTTTTGTTCATTCTGCTTTAATTTAGAAAACTAATCTGAATAATTCAACATTGTCAACCTTTATATAACAACAGCTACACAAAATTCACCCAATAAGCATAGCCAGCAATGTTTTCCAAGTCTCCATTGAAAGATAAATGACAACAAAGCAGCATCAAATTTCAGCTGCATTCTTGGCCAAGAAGTCAAGACTTTACATTGGCTGCTCCATGCTTCTTTTAGAAGCATGTATAAGATATCATAATTGATCATAATTTTTCTCTAGGATAGTAGAATAGAATTGCAAATGTCATTAAATGTGTGATCTAACAGCTAGGCTAAAATCTGCATATGTTGTGCACTCAGTGGTGTATGGTGCATGTGGCAATGTTGTAACTGCTTTGGCTTCCTAATTTTAGCAAATCAAAAATAAGATTAAATAAATTGAATCCAAGAGTACACAAATATCTGAAATGCAATAAATTCAACATTTCAAGCATACTTACGAAACGAATAAGTATTATAAGATGAGTCCTAATTACAGAGACAGAAATGAATATATATAGATTCACTGACCGCTGATATTGTCTCGTATATCGGACAAATGATTTGCTCAAGGTAGGACACTGAACCATTTTTACTAATACAACTAGGAGCTCGATTAGCTTCTCCATGGTCCAATATTGCATCTAACTCTCTTGCCATCTGGGGAAAAATATTTAATTAAGCCATTCATTGTAACTTAAGATTCAAACAACATACATATCCTCTTTATCCAAAAATTGTTGCATGCTTCAAATGCATGGAAGTTTGGGAATGGATGTTTCAACTTCAAAAGATAACAAATTCCCACTTGTTGATTTTATTTTAGCAGTTTCATTATTGTTGATCTTATTTTAGCAGTTTCATTATTGTTGATTTTATTTTATCAGTTTCATGATTGCATAAATTGTACCAACTACTCATACTGGCCATGAGGAATACATGTGGCAATCAGCAAGTAGGAATATATATAAGGTTTCGGGACATCTGAAATATTAACATGGTAATCAGCAAGTATTGAGCTTATGCGAGGCCGTGAGGAATATATATATGTTTATCTGAGACTACAGGCTTTGTCACATGGACACAATTTATTCAATCATACAGTGCTACCGCTGATGAAAACAACCAGGGATCTAAAGCTGATGTTGGTAGAAAGAGCATTTGAAATACAGTAATTTTTGTACAGCAAACAGATTTCTGATAAATAGTTCCAACTAGGTCAAGAAACACTGAACTTTGGGGGATCACTCAGAATCATGACCAACAAAGAGAAAGTAGCAGTACAAACTCCATAAGGGAAGGGTTGAGAGTTAATAATGAGGGGTGATTTGATAGAGTGAGATAGCAGATCAAACATCGGACATATCAACCAAAAGTGAAAAAAAAGCTTACATGGTGAAATATATAGCAAATGCATTCTGGAAGAAACCGGACATTTGCAGCTTCACCCCAAATGAGGAAGTACAACGAAACCAAAAAAAGCTTCCTGTCCCTATTGATTGCTTCTAAACTGTATGAAACAAATTTGAGGCTAATTAGAAGCAGGTGAACTAGCTAAAATTTCAAAATAGCAGCAGGCTGCAGAAGTGACCTGTTCCACACTAGGCGTATCCGTAAATATCTACACCATTTGATGTAGTTATCCAGGACCTTCAAGAAAACCTCTGTAATAGCTTTTTCATCTATTTTCTGTCAAAAGAAAAACATGAAGGCTCATCAGTCTCCTTTACTAACAAAAAAATAACAGTTGTGTCTTAATACAAACACAGCCCAATGCATAGCCACGCCTAACCAGAAACTACAAATGACTTAAAAACCAGCAGTGAACCACCGAAAGAAATGTAATAATGCAGTTTATGTAAAACAATTAAGGAGTTCAAACAAGAAATAGCAACCATATTTGTCTCATTCAAATGCAGTCAATAAAAAATTACTTGCTATCCTTTCATGCCAATTGATAACTCGGTAAAGTGTCACTGGAATCTATTCCATTCTCAAATTTATTCACATATACCTAAGGAAAAATTAGATGACAAACTATAAACTAAACAATGAAAAAATCTGTCATCTAAACTCTAGTATTCCATCATGAAAAAAACTAGGTACAGGAGGCAACACATAGAAATCCTCTACAAGAAAAGATTAGACTACCCCTAATGATAAACAACCATAATATAAATAAAATCTTAACACCTTCAAGGGAAAATTTTCTGAAACATATCCCAAAAGCTTCCCTCAAAATTTCTTATGTTTCATCATGGTTTAGGAAACTTCTAGAAATTTTTGAAAAAAATATCATCCTGAAGCCAAGATGCCGCTGCATATCTATTCATGATCATGTTGAGTTGAAAATGGTATATGTCTAATAAATTGGAAAAAAGATATAAGATCCCCAATCAACACCAAAAGTTCAGCACAAGAAAACTGAACTTTGAATAATTTTTCCAATCAAGTAAAGTTGATCTTTAATATAACAGAGGAAAACAAGAAAGTCAAACAATTTAGAAAATGAAAATCCACTGCTTCGTAAGAACTGCACAGCTTACGGGATCAGCTTCAACAGGTATACCAAGTCGGGATTGTGCATTTGCTATGGTAAGAACAACATTCTCACGCTGGTTCCTTATGTTGTCTTTCTGCAAGAGAAATACAAAGTGATTAACCACAAAAACACACTACGAAAGAATAATTAGTTTATAAAAGACGGAAATGCAACTAAACAAGAAAAGGCAGGGACAGCAAATGATTGACCAAGATTGTCCATATCTAGCTAGTACCACATATCACTATGGATGAAACATAATAACTGAACAGTTTAACCTACTGCTTTTGGTCGCAATGGTGCGTTATGTGTAGATGTGAAATTGAGAATGTTGATCACCTTTTATTGCATTGCACTTTGGCACGAACGTTTTGGAACAAGATTTTTTATCTTGTGGGTTTTTCTTGGGTTGCTCCAAGGATTATGGTCTCTATGATCTGCATGGACAATGTCGGATTGAAGAGAATAGTAGATGGAAGACTATTTAGAATAGGGCTCCCTTAGCTACCTTGGGTGATTTGGAAAGACAAGAATGCGAGGATTTTTTAGGATAAAAGTGAAGAACTTGAGGGCTTATGAGATAGAATTAATTTTTTTGCATCTTTTTGGGCCTCAATTTCCAAGGATTTTGAAGATATTCATCTCTTTGTATTAAGGCAAGCTGAAAGGCATCGTGTGGCTTGTAGTTTGTCATTGCCTTATGTTTTCTTTGTCTGTTTCTGTGGTGGACTTCTTGTCTGCAATTGCTTTGTTTTTATTGNACACATAGAAATCCTCTACAAGAAAAGATTAGACTACCCCTAATGATAAACAACCATAATATAAATAAAATCTTAACACCTTCAAGGGAAAATTTTCTGAAACATATCCCAAAAGCTTCCCTCAAAATTTCTTATGTTTCATCATGGTTTAGGAAACTTCTAGAAATTTTTGAAAAAAATATCATCCTGAAGCCAAGATGCCGCTGCATATCTATTCATGATCATGTTGAGTTGAAAATGGTATATGTCTAATAAATTGGAAAAAAGATATAAGATCCCCAATCAACACCAAAAGTTCAGCACAAGAAAACTGAACTTTGAATAATTTTTCCAATCAAGTAAAGTTGATCTTTAATATAACAGAGGAAAACAAGAAAGTCAAACAATTTAGAAAATGAAAATCCACTGCTTCGTAAGAACTGCACAGCTTACGGGATCAGCTTCAACAGGTATACCAAGTCGGGATTGTGCATTTGCTATGGTAAGAACAACATTCTCACGCTGGTTCCTTATGTTGTCTTTCTGCAAGAGAAATACAAAGTGATTAACCACAAAAACACACTACGAAAGAATAATTAGTTTATAAAAGACGGAAATGCAACTAAACAAGAAAAGGCAGGGACAGCAAATGATTGACCAAGATTGTCCATATCTAGCTAGTACCACATATCACTATGGATGAAACATAATAACTGAACAGTTTAACCTACTGCTTTTGGTCGCAATGGTGCGTTATGTGTAGATGTGAAATTGAGAATGTTGATCACCTTTTATTGCATTGCACTTTGGCACGAACGTTTTGGAACAAGATTTTTTATCTTGTGGGTTTTTCTTGGGTTGCTCCAAGGATTATGGTCTCTATGATCTGCATGGACAATGTCGGATTGAAGAGAATAGTAGATGGAAGACTATTTAGAATAGGGCTCCCTTAGCTACCTTGGGTGATTTGGAAAGACAAGAATGCGAGGATTTTTTAGGATAAAAGTGAAGAACTTGAGGGCTTATGAGATAGAATTAATTTTTTTGCATCTTTTTGGGCCTCAATTTCCAAGGATTTTGAAGATATTCATCTCTTTGTATTAAGGCAAGCTGAAAGGCATCGTGTGGCTTGTAGTTTGTCATTGCCTTATGTTTTCTTTGTCTGTTTCTGTGGTGGACTTCTTGTCTGCAATTGCTTTGTTTTTATTGTAAAAATTCTTTTCTTGTAGGGAGCCACAGATATCACTAGGCATGAAAAAAAAAACAGAAAAATACCAAGAGAAAAGGTATATGCCCCACGGTTTCTAAAAAGAAAGCCAAACGAATAATTCACTGCACGAGAGGCCCTCTGGTGCATTAAGTCTTCAGGAATTACTTATGTCGTTGATGAGTGAACAAATAGCAAGAATCTTCACTTTATTTCTACACGTAGATGAGATCCAGTGAAATCCAATTTATCTAACATGAGAGGCATACCTTGAATCTCTTTCAAGGCCAGAAACCTATAAGAGGCAAGGAAACTGGTTTTATCCACAAGTCATCTATTCTTCATAAACTTGTCTTTAAAATTTCTATCTCTCATATTCTCCAAACCCAAATAAAAGTGTGAGGATTGCTTGAAATAAATTATTTGCGGCCTAAAATTGGCATTGCTTGTAGTGTGTGTTTGAAATTTGAAAACATACATGTATATTTGCGTACTAATATCGAATATCTTTCTGACTTTCTCCAACTTTTTATTGGCAAAGGTAAAATGTAATTGAGTGCAAGGAGGAAATGAAAACAAGGGACGGGGGGAGCTTCCAAACACAAAAAAACAACTGCAATAAGGAAAAAACATAGAAACAATAATAGAGATATAAGGCCCAAGTAAAACATATATGAGGTGATCAACATATTATATGAAATGATCAACAAGCAAATTACAGTATAATCATGCTACAGGATTAAACCCCCAACACTTGTGTTTTCAACAGGCATAAACATTTAAAAAGACAAAGGGGGTATGGAAACATAAAAGGACGTTATACCTGAAAACCAAACACATATTCCAGAAGATCAAACATGTCCATGTCCCGCTGTCCAGATATCTCAAAAGGAGTAGGAAGCCTAGGGAACTGTTCAGTATATCTAATTGCAGATATAGCACCTCTAACCTACACAAATTAGTTGACGGTAAAAAAAAGTGAGAAATCAATACTCTTGGGCAGACCATACCTAAAGAGTGCACCCAAAATATTGGTAAGGTTCCATAGGAATAACGAATTTGAACCAAAACATCAACATACCACACTAGTATATATTTATAGCATTTGTGAATCTATATCTGTAAGTACTGCACATAGACCATTAGAATTACTCAGAACACTAGGTAGAGGTGAGATTCAGCTCCACAATAAAAGAACACAGGTGACAAAGAATGTGATTCACAGCTACATATCATTTCAAATTTTGATCTTACTTCTGGAAAAAATCCAATGGCATTAGTAAGTGAGGATGCTTCCAACGGGACAATATTGTATGATGTGAGCTCTCCTGCTAATGGAGCGTCTGACTTCTTGATCTTTCTCAACTGAAACAAACCACCATAAAAGGTTACATTAATTATGGATTTAACTCTTTGAAAAGTCAAAAAAGAATGCTCAGAAAAGTCAACTTCACAGTTCCAACATATCAAATTTTGAGCACATGGGACCTAAATTATTGCGAGCTAAGTGTGCAAAAAAAAATTGAGAGCACACTTTAGTTCTTCATATTGCTTGTGTTAGATCTACCAGAAAGTCATGTCCATTTAAGTATGTGTCTGCAAGGGGAAAGGGATATCCACGGGGAGAGAGAGAGAGAGTACCTCCTCCATTATAAGCTGTCCCACTCCATCAAGAGCCACATCTTTGCTTAATGCCTCCATAACCTCAACCAGGGCCCTCAAGGTAGCAAATACGTTTCTCATTTCCATTTCCAAATATCTACGGTCCAAACTGAAGAAAAAACAATTCACAAGTGAAACAATTGAGTTTTGTATTATAAAGCAATGACCTAATAAGATGACTAAAAAGAATGAATACATAACAAGACATCGAACTAATTTACTTTGGCACCAGGCATATTTATTGCAAGACTACAACTGAAAATTTTTAAAATGTTTTACCATAAGCAATAATTAGATTTAACCCAGTGTTGTGAACAGCGAACTTAGGCGAGAAACGAAACGAAACAAGCCTTAGGCGCCTTGAACAGCCCGGGAAAGCGAGCCTAAGCCATAAAGTGAAGAAGCGAGAGTCAGGTAAGAAAAGCGAACGCCTGACTCCAATTTTTTATTTTCTCCTCCTCCCGCGTCGCATCCTTCCCCTCCTCCTCCTCCTCATCATCTTAAACCCTAATAGAGATGATGTTATATATGTATATGTATAAAATAAATTGATTTATTCATCTGACAGTATCATATGATAATCAATCTTGTCTTGCTATGGTTAGATGATGTTGAATGCTCTGTTTTGTGGTGAATGCTTTTGTTAATCAATTTGCTTAGTTAATAAATTTGTTATACACTATTTGATTAATTAATTTGTGAGTACTCTATTTAGTGGTGATATTAATCAATCATGGTGGGAGTCCATCCTACATTTGCTAACTTTCCATTTAAATGATATGATTATATCAATTGATTATTTTTAAAATACAATAATATTCAATATTTAATATCTTATAAATATGTAGATGTTTATTATTTTAGTTGCATTTAAATATTTTGTATTTGTAAAATTAAAACTTGAATATTTAGGAGCAATCAAAGTTTTAAACTAAAATATTTTTTTATTTTTTATATTGTTCGCTTTGCGTTTACTTTGCTTCCTGCCTAGGCCTTTAGAAAGGCTAGTTTGCTTCGATTCGCTTTACGCCTTAAAAAACACTAATTTAACCAAGGAAGAATAAATATTACAAAAAAATAGATAGACACAATATATGGAATTGTCAAACAAGAAATGTATGAGAAAAGAACAAGCTTCTCCCAGGTACTCAATAACAAATAAAGAACTTACAAGAGAAAACCATCTTGATTTTTCCTTCTTCGGCCAATATAGCAAAGGCAACAACAAATACCATGGGGACATAACCCATAACAAACATGCTTGACATCCATATCTAATAATTTGCAAATTGAGTGCCCAATTTTTAATTTTTTCTAGACATCAGATTTCTTCTTCACCAACCTAATGTGATCATTTTTTTTCTATCATTAACCAATGCAAAAGGGTAAACACTCATTGAACGAGTTAGCTTTGTAAAGAGTCAATAGTTGACTATAATAGAAGCATACTATCCTCTGCCCATTCATATAGATGCAGTTTATGGAATTAACCATGGCTTCAAGAATGTTATAAATCTTCTAAAGCCAGTTCACGCTAACTAGTCTGAAAGCATCACATTTAGTTCTTTGGCAAGATAAAGCAACCCACATGCCAAGTTCCTGAGATGTATTTGATTTTAATGTAAACTCATTACACAGTCCATTGGAACACGGCACATGAAAGGAATCAGGTATAAGCAATCAATAGGATCACAAGGTAATAAAACCAACAGATAAATAGGCCATACTCTCCCATATTAGCACTAAAAGTCCCAGATTCCCGCAATCTTTGTTATAAATCCCATGGCTTCAAGAATGTTATAAATCTTCTAAAGCCAGTTCACGCTAACTAGTCTGAAAGCATCACATTTAGTTCTTTGGCAAGATAAAGCAACCCACATGCCAAGTTCCTGAGATGTATTTGATTTTAATGTAAACTCATTACACAGTCCATTGGAACACGGCACATGAAAGGAATCAGGTATAAGCAATCAATAGGATCACAAGGTAATAAAACCAACAGATAAATAGGCCATACTCTCCCATATTAGCACTAAAAGTCCCAGATTCCCGCAATCTTTGTTCCTCTCTTTGGATATCATCCACTCTGTGTCGTCTCTTATACTGTTGATAAAATTCCCACAAGCGTTCAGCATCACGATTACGATCTATTCGAGCCCCATCCCTTTTGGCAAGTTTTTGCTGCGTTAATTAGTCAAGCCATGAAAGCATAAAACTTGAGTAATGAGTAATCTGTGATCATGCAGCAGCATATCTAACAGAACAATAAAATCTATCCCCAGCATGAAGTAACTGCATTTAAAATGGCAATATCTCAATTGATTCATTTTGATTATCTGGGAGTGAAAAAGAGATTAATGATTGTATTCCTTGGCTTCCCCTTTTCCTTTGCGCAGACATTGCATATACTTGGCTTGCACCCCCTTGATACATTTTAGTTGTTTGCTTCTATCTATCATTTAAAGTAAAATAACATAAAATATGGTACCTTAATCACAGACATCAAGCCAGTCTTAAACTGAAGAACACCCCTACCATCGCTGTTAGGGTCCAAATTTTGTGCCATTGAATAAGCCTGCTCGCACACTGATATATCCAACCAAAATTCGTTCAGACATGAAATCAATTTTATCAATGCTAAACTTGCTAAATAATCAAATCCAACCAACACGCAATGCCCTTCAAGAAATATACTTCATAAAAAAAGGCTTTTTCCAATATCTATGGAAAAAATAATAACTGCAATATCTGACCGCATTGGATACTTTATGACAGAACGTCACATGTTAAAAATAATTGGTTATAAGATAGTTTGTTAGAGCTAAAGGAGTCTTTTTCCAGCATGTTGATGCTTTTTTATATTTTCAGCACAAACTACACATTCTTGTCAAACATAGCTACATCAAAAGGTTACGTAATCTAGTCTACATTAAACGAAGATGCTGAAGAGCATATGAAAGTGCTATGAAATGTTGCATAGTAATCCATTAATTCTTTTTTGTAGTGCATTGTCTTACTAATCATAAAATAAAAGATAGGAACATATCATGTGGGAAAACATCAAATCTTTCATCATCTTACTAGTCCATGACTTCTTGTTTTTCCAATTTCTCGATACCCAAAAAAAATTCATTCCTGAAAAGCCAAAAGGAGTAAAAACCTTATACGAGGAAATATATGAAGTCCCTATGTACCAGAATTCATAACACACCCCCCCACCAAAAAAGAATCAATCCATGATTCCAAAGGAGAACCCAAATTCTAATTCCTAAAAAAAGGGGGGGAGCAAATATCAACTAGCTTTCCAGCATAGAAATGGAGCCTCTAAACCTCTCCTTTGCCTCCCACTCCATAAACACCGCATCAAGTAAAGAAAAGACATCATCCACATACTCCTGGGCATCACTGCCACTTAAGCACTGCATCAATCCTTTTACAATGCCCAACATCAACCAGGACACATGAAAAACCAAGCAAAGGACACACATATTCCAGTGACCCCATAACCTGCTTCTGCATACTATTTTCTTTATTTACAATACTGCCAACTGCATTAATTCATATAGCTCAAGCTAATCACCAGCAAAATAAGAATGAACAACTCGGTAACTACCACAGAAAACCAAAAGCAACTAACAACAAATCCTATTCAAAATAGTTGACGATCATCGTTTCTTATCAAGAAATAAATAAATCATTGACTAAATCCGCTGCTCACAACTCCTCATGTTCTTCAAAGTATATATAATATATAGGGATAAACTAAAACAATGCAGAAACTTAGGAAAGTATCTTGTGAAGAATCAAGTGAAAGCTTTTGTAATTTACAAAAAACAAGGTAAAGCCATAAGCTTAAAGTTACAAAACAAGTGAGTAACTTTGTTCAGCTTTCTTGAGTTTACTAGAGTGAAAATAAACATCATAATTATACTAACACAAAAGTGCTTCTCGTTCAAATGGACTCAGAATCGCAAGGCATTCAGCTCAAAAACTCAATCCGCTTGATCAGGATACTCCTACTTACATTTTTATTTTCCATGAGTTAAATATCTCACTATCTTTCTTTTTTTAAGTTCTCTAACATCACACTCATGAGTATGCATATGAATCCAACACCATACTTCTTCGTACATAAGCATATGCCAATTTGTAATTGTATGCACGATTACAGTGGTGTCAATTTGACCTATCAACACGAACACAATACAAGTCTGACAAGACTTTAAAATTGACACGATTAATAAATATACAAAAATAAATGGATTAGATTAATGCTTGATATTTATAACACATTAAATAAAAAAAATCATGTGTATTGACACGAACACAAACACAAATTACAAGACACAGCACAAAAATAGTGACACGTGAATGTGCATATGCGTGTGAATTTTAAAGTTCCGCATTGTTGTTGTCGACTCCCTTCAATGTCGAGCTCATGTAATTAGTGAATGTGAACTCATATCCTATCATACAATAGTTTCTGGTACTTTTGAACTCCAAGGTCCTAACAACGTTTCTACCAGAATATTTTATATAACATAAACTAATTAAGCAGAAGGTCATGTTTGTCCTAATACACAGAACTATTTGTATGCGACTAAGCCTACATAATCATATTTATCGGAGAAATCATTCAACATCAAATTCATTAAAAGTATGTTAAAAAAAATAGCCTCAAAATTCTTATACTTGCAAAAATTGAAGAATATGCTGTATGTTTCGCATCTAAGTACACAACTTATATTTGTTCATTCACAGACAAGTACAAGCAAGTAGCGTTGGCGAATCATTGAACATCAAATTCTTTAAAAAATAAAAACGTAAAATCAAAACAAATACTTACAAATCCGCGCAACATTGGGGTCCTCGGATTGAATCTCATCAGCAGCTTGAAGAATCAAATTAATATTGGTGGTTCTTTGAAGCGAATCAGGTACAGCACCGGCAATCCCACTAGTAGTCCTCTCATGGCCTTTACCGGGATGTCGACGCTGCTCTCTCCGCAACGTCGCTCGAACCAGCCTCTCCCAATTGTCGTAAGCCCTAGCCATCGTTTCAACTCCAAAACCCTATGATTTGCACATGAACGGAGATGAAACGAACAATTCAACAAACTGAATACAAATAAGCTTTCCGAACCCTAGCTCTGTCAAACTTGAAAATTAAGCACGCGGATCTAAAAAATTTGGTAATAATTTCAGGTTAAGGTCCAAGAGGTTGTTTAAATAAAGTTTAAGTGACAGTGGACTCGATCGGGTTGTGAAGAAACGCAACGAGAAGAAGATACGCGTCGAGTAGATTTCGTGCTTGACGCGCTGATTGGAAAGAGAGATAAGATCGTATTGCGCTGGTGCACGTGCCGCGCCAGTCGGTTTTCAAAAAACCTTGGCCTCCAAGGTTCATTAGTTTCTATTTTGTGATATTGGGTTTGAACGGGCAAATCTTTTTTACCGTTATTTACCATTGGAGGGTGTCTTTAATGATCTACTTTATAGATCTTTTGAATCTTACAGTTATGACTTATGAGGTACTTTTTGTAATCAGTTTTATTATATAATTATATCTTTCAATTTATTGCATTCTCTTATCTATTACATATGAATAATGTTNATCTTTTGAATCTTACAGTTATGACTTATGAGGTACTTTTTGTAATCAGTTTTATTACATAATTATATCTTTCAATTTATTGCATTCTCTTATCTATTACATATGAATAATGTTAGATTNGATTTTAACAAGATTTACATAAAAATTATATTTGATAATCTTAACCATTGAATAGGTAGCGGATCCCAATAAATGTTAGGACCCACAGTAAAATCAATGATTAAAATTATCAAATTTAATTTTTAAGTACATGTAACATTACTCTTTAAATATCGCATCTCTTTTTTCTTATATTTCTATTTGAGAATGGAGAATGGGACACAAGAGCACAGAGGGGTCTGATAGGAATAAATGTTGGGTGTATCTGTTACGTTATGTTAAATATTGTCCCATAGTTTAACTGTTTAATAAATAAAAAATTAAAAAATAGGCAAGTGAATCCTATTTTTTCAGTGGCAATTGTTATCTTATATGGATGAGTAATTATTTGAAGGAATTTCTTCATGTTATCTAATTATAAGAGTTATCATTTGACGGTTACACCACGTGATATATTTACATGGTGTAATCGTTAGACTCAATATTTACTCGGTCTAGTATACTTCATAACTAAAATGGTTGAAACATAACAAGTTAGGTAGGATAGGAGGGTGTAGGAGTGATTGGTATAACTGAGTCAAGCTGCTAGGGTTTAACTTAAATAAGACTCGACTCGAATTCTAAGTAAGTCGAACTTAAATAATTTTTTAAGCTCGTATTTATTGACTTAATCTCGCAAAACTCGGCGCATTTTTTTTTAAATGAGTTGATCTTGAATAACTTTTGGGCTTGTTTAAAAAAATGCGTTCGACAGATTCAATTTAATTATTTGTCGTAGTAATTGGTCAGAATGAAGTAGGGTTTTGGAGGATAGGGTGCCAATGAATTCATAACAAAGTGGATGCATTGTGTAAAGTAATTGTAATAAACACAATTAATGTTGAGATGTTTGATAATGCTATCATGGTAACACATATTTCAAATTTGATGGAAATTTTTAAATTTGGTGGAACAATGTGGCCTGTTTGGTTTGATGGAAAATCAGGTAAATAGAAAATGAAGGATGGAAACTGGGGAGAATGGAAAGTGTATCATTTGTTTGGTTCCAATGGAAAAATTGGATGGAATGGAAAGAAGGGTGGAAACACACTCCACTCCACCTGCCAATTTGTTTTCTCAAAAAATTGGAGGGAAAAAAGGGATGGAATGGAAAGAAGGGTGGGAACACACTCCATTCTGCNCCAATTTGTTTTCTCCAAAAATTGGAGGGAAAAAAGGGATGGAATGGAAAGAAGGGTGGGAACACACTGCATTCCGCCCCCAATTTGTTTTCTCCCAAAATTGGAGAGAAAATGGAATGGAAAAAATAATCTAACGAGTTAAGTTGGTATAATTACATTTATACCCTCATTAATGGCTTTCTTATTAAATGCGCTCACAGTGTGTTATCCATATAACTAAGTCTTTTATTTAAAAAAGTTCACGTGCCAAAACTTTTAGAAATACTACATGCCATAGGAATGAATTGAGTTGTGTAATTATTTATCAGTTTTATCTTACAAAATGTATTCTTTTAAAAAAAATATATTTGCTATAGAAATTATGTTTTTCTTAAGGGTATAATGGTAAATGAAGTTTATACATATATTATTTACTTTAATCATTACTAATACTCAAATGTCATAAAACTCCCCCAATAACTTCTAGATAGTTATTGGAATCTAATTGTCCATTTGGTATGAGAGATAGGAAATTGAAAGGATGAAAAATTTGAGAGTTATACTTTTTGTTATTTAAGGACGGAAAAATATTTTATCTTCTTCTTATTTGGTATAATGGATAAAAATTTGAGGGATTAATTTTTTATTGTTTTATATTAGAGGAAAAAATTTCAAGTTATAGTAGAACAACTTCAAATATATTAGTTAAAATAGTTAGTTAAAATATATTTTTTATTATATTATTTATTTTAAAAAATAATTAATACTATTTTTTTATTATACTATCTATTTTAAAAAATAATTAATAATATTTCACTCGAACAACGATAACTATTTTAATTAATTATTTAAATTAACTTTAACAACCCATCAATAATTAAAATATAAACTAATACATAATATGTCACGTCGAGAAATTCACAAATCCACAAATTCTAATGATGTAAGAATAACTTATAAATTTTCAAATTACCTCTAGAAAGAGAAACAATTCGGAGTTTTCTGTCTGATTTTTAGTGTAGTTGCAGTGGGGTTTTGGTGAGTTTTTGGTATAGTTGCAGTGGAATTTTGGTGGGTTTTTGGTATGACTTTTAGTGCAATTGCAGTGGAGTTTTGGTCTGACTTTTGGTGCAATTGCAGAGGGGTTTTCGATGGGGTTTTAGTGGAGTTTCAATGGGGTTTTCGGTCTAGTTCTAGGGGGATTTTGGTAGAGTTTCAGTTGGAGCAGAGAGAGAGAGAGAGACATAAGAGCCGAGAGATAGAAGTCCATACTGGGGTCTTGGAAGAAGACGCCACAACCAGTCTTCTGTGATTCTGGATGAAGACGATGAGAGGCTATGGAATGAGAAAAATGGTGCAAAAAAAAAAAAAATAGCTAGCTGTTGTTGGCTCGCCAAATATAGCTAGTGGAACGAGAGTTATGGAAAATAACTTGTGAGATAGTTAGGGTCTATTTGATTTAATTTTTGAAAATTGTTCTTTGAAAATTCGGAGAACAAAGACATGATTTTAGAGAACCTCTAAAAGTTGTTTGGATTTATGGAAAACAAGGGGAACAACCAGACATTTTTACTGTGCACTTATTGCACCATATAAAGTGGTTTTTTTTTTCTTCTCTCTCTCTATCTCGAAGGTCTTGGACGAGTCAAACCCAGATCTACTGATGTGAAGGCACAGCTTCGACTGATCACAGATGTAGCTCCAGTGACTCAAGTAAGCCATAAATTTGGGTTTTTTTTTCCTGTTTTTGGCACGACTTTGTTTGGGTTTATTTTTGTTTTGATTTTTCCATTATCCTTTCAACGCTATAACAGATCTGCTGCGACACCGCTTTGGCGAAACGAAGGCGGAGCTCTGGAGACGCAGGTAACAGATCTGAGTTTTTTATAATATATCTGCTAGATCTGGGTTTTTTATTTGTTTTTCCCTTGTTTTTTTTTGGAGTTTGTATGAGGCTTACATGATCTGAGATTTTTTTTTATTTATTTTTCCCTAAATTTGGCTTCTTATAGTTCGACGAAAGCTTGTGGAGAAACTACAGCCGGTGAAATAGGTGCTGCATGAAGTTGAGCAGTCAACAACCCTTAATCAGTAATTTGTCATTGTTTTCTGTTATTGGGTCTACTGGGTTGCCGATTCACTGGGTTGCGTTGATCCTATTCAAACTTTCTTGTTATGTTGGATATTGCTTATGCGAATGTTGGATATTGCTTATGCGAATGTTGGACAAGTAAACTAGGCATAACAGTAGGCCTTTTCCATTTTATTTGTTTATGACAAAGTTGGATTTTGCCAAACAAAGATCCAACCCAGTGACACTTTGGATTAGCACGGAGATAATGTGAGACTTTTTCTTTTGTGCGAAGAATGGTGTCTATTATATTAGAATGTGTATTATTGTATTATGAGTATATGTGTATGTGTGCAAATGAATTTTTTTACTATAATATGATTTATGTTTTTATTATTTTATGTGTTATTGNCATAACAGTAGGCCTTTTCCATTTTATTTGTTTATGACAAAGTTGGATTTTGCCAAAACAAAGATCCAACCCAGTGACACTTTGGATTAGCACGGAGATAATGTGAGACTTTTTCTTTTGTGCGAAGAATGGTGTGTATTATATTAGAATGTGTATTATTGTATTATGAGTACGATAAGTATTCGCTTCGATAAGTATATGTGTATGTGTGCAAATGAATTTTTTTACTATAATATGATTTATGTTTTTATTATTTTATGTGTTATTGTCTAAACAAATTTTATTATTTTCTATTCTATAAAACTGTTTTTAGAATCATATAATCAAATAAGTTATTCGTCTCAGAAAATACCAAAATATATTTTTTTTAAACTCTTTTTAAAAATTATTTTATTTGAATAATATTTTTTAATATGTAAATCAATCAGACTTTTAGTTTGTTGAAGACAAATTTTTAGAATTGGGTTACATAAAGTAGATGAGAAGAAACTCCTATTAGAATCGTCGGATTAATAATCTTCAATCGATTTGAACTGTGAAAAGTTCAAAACAAAAAAAATTAACTACTTTATTATATAGATACCTATTAAGAGCACGGAAAGAGTTTCAGTAGAAGCTAACACTGGTCCCAGGAAGCCCCGTATCCTGTTTGCTGCTAGTGGAAGTGTGGNTTTAATATGTAAATCAATCAGACTTTTAGTTTGTTGAAGACAAATTTTTAGAATTGGATTACATAAAGTAGATGAGAAGAAACTCCTATTAGAATCGTCAGATTAATAATCTTCAATCGATTTAAACTGTGAAAAGTTCAAAACAAAAAAATTTAACTACTTTATTATATAGATACCTATTAAGAGCATGGAAAGAGTTTCAGTAGAAGCTAACACTGGTCCCAGGAAGCCCCGTATCCTGTTTGCTGCTAGTGGAAGTGTGGCTGCTATAAGTTTGGAAATCTTTGCCATTGCTTTTCTGAATAAGCAGAGGTAAGAGCGGTTGCTGCAAAGTCTTCGTTACATTTCATTGATCGAGCATCACTTCCTAAGGATGTAATTCTTTATACCGACGAGGATGAATGGTCCACTTGGAAAAAGATAGGCGACAGTGTGCTTCACATTAAGCTCCGCAAGTGGGATGTTAATCGAAAAGAGTTATTTGGGCTCGGCTTAGATAAAATTTAGCTTAAGCTCGACTCATGTTCTAAATGAACTGAACTTCAACAATTTTTTATGTCCGTTTAGAAAAACGGCCTAAAAGACTTAGCTCAAGCATTTACATGTAAAATAATTGAATTACTTNACTTCCTAAGGATGTAATTCTTTATACCGACGAGGATGAATGGTCCACTTGGAAAAAAGATAGGCGACAGTGTGCTTCACATTAAGCTCCGCAAGTGGGATGTTAATCGAAAAGAGTTATTTGGGCTTGGCTTAGATAAAATTTAGCTTAAGCTCGACTCATGTTCTAAATGAACTGAACTTCAACAATTTTTTATATCCGTTTAGAAAAACGGCCTAAAAGACTTGGCTCAAGCATTTACATGTAAAATAATTGAATTACTTGGGCTCAGCTCGAATTCTAAACGAGAACTTGAACAAATTTTTAGGTTCATTTAAAAAAACAAGCGTTGCCAAGCTCGGACTCAAGTTTACAAAATTTGTCTTGATTAACACCCTATCCGCAGGTGGGCCAATATCATGGTCATTGCCCCCACTGTCCGCAAACACACTTGGCAAGGTGATATAAATTGCAATTGTGCATAGTGCTTGACTCTTAAAAATACTAAAATTGTTTAACTTGGAACAGAAAACTTGAGCAATGATGCTGCTAACACCAGCAAAAGTTGATAGAATTGCTGAATATTGTATTTGAACATAAAAAAATTTGTGCTCTTGCTAAAATTTGAGGGTTTTTCAACCACAATGTGTATAGTGCTTGACTCTTAAAACNGTGATATAAATTGCAATTGTGCATAGTGCTTGACTCTTAAAAATACTAAAATTGTTTAACTTGGAACAGAATACTTGAGCAATGATGCTGCTAACACCAGCAAAAGTTGATAGAATTGCTGAATATTGTATTTGAACTTAAAAACATTTGTGCTCTTGCTAAAATTTGAGGGTTTTTCAACCACAATGTGTATAGTGCTTGACTCTTAAAATACTAAAATTGTTTAATTTGCTGAATATTGTATTTGAACTTAAAAATATTTGTGCTCTTGCTAAAATTTAAGGGTTTTTCAGACCACATTGTAAAATGTGTGCGAGGCTACTTGATGTAGTGTGTGCATGCATGTGTAATGGGTATGTGAATATGGATTGAGTCAAATTGCTAAACAAGATTCGTGGAGTTGATACAATGATTTTGACCAAGGCTGTTGGAGTCACGTGTAGTCCATATGCATATAATATGATTTTTGAGGTGTTTCATATTGCTTGAAATGACTTTCTTGGTCCTTATGGGCTTCATTCCGAGAGGGGTGTTTCTGTTAATGTTTAATATGGCTTGATCAACTGTAAATTTCATTTTTTTTGTAACTGTAGATTGCAGGGAAATTGTGCGATAACTTGCTGACCTGCATTGTGCCAGCGTGGGACTACAGTAAACCATTTTTTATAGCACCAGCCATGAACACTTTCATGTGGAACAATCCTTTCACAGAACGGTATCTTATGATAATTGAGGAGCTCGGAATTTCTCTCATCACACCTGTAACAAAGAGGCTAGCTTGTGGGGATTATGGAAATGGTGCAATGGCTTAAACTTCACTCATCTTCTCTTCCATAAGACTCTTCTTAGAGTCGAGGGCGCAGTCTGCTAGCAGAAATATTCAGTAGTTACCCTCACAAATCTTTCAAAAGTAGAGATGTAAATGACAAATGCTTACCAATTGATAGTACAAATGCTGGTGTCCTTATAGGTCCTTTGTCTACACCAGGTGTGTTCTTGCCTTTATGTTTGTCCTTTCTCTTCGTTGTCCTTTTGCCGCCTTTTTTTGGTTTTTTTTTGTTTTTTGTGTGCGTATGTTGGGGGGTGGGGGGATTGGGCAGTCTGGCGAATCCAGATCTCCTCCAAGGTAAATTTCCTCAACTTCCTTCAATGGACCATCACCCACCTTGTGTTGTTGGCAGACCCACTATTGGGTATTTGTGTAATCTAAGGATCAAAATTTCATTTTGATGCATAGTTTCGATAAGTTTAAAAATAAAAATGTTTCATAAACATAAATAATATAAAATTTTATTTTCAAAATATTGGTCGAAACATTTTGAAACATAGGTCAAAAACACATCAAAATTTACCGAAATTTTAATATTCAATTAATAATTCATTTTGATTTTTATGGAACCAAAAACGTTTCAATCGTTTCGAAATAAAATTTAGTTTCTTGGTATAATTCACTTTCGAGGAAACTAGAGGGATATGATATTGGAGGAGATACAAACCCCGTTTGTGCTATCTGCCAGATTCTGCAGTGTTATTTGCTAGATAGGGCAAATGTATGTTTGGAATGGTTTTCTGTGGCGTGGCACCTCTGAATGTTATGGAGTGGACTCTGGTGCATTGTGTGTAATTAGAAAAGAGGTATGGCTATGGCCCTTTGTGGACAAGTTTATGTTGCCTGTTTCGTGCTGCTTAACTGTGCAATGGATTTACTACTGTTTCTTGGTACATGGCTGGATTACTCATTGAGCAGANAATGTTATGGAGTGGACTCTGGTGCATTGTGTGTAATTAGAAAAGAGGTATGGCTATGGCCCTTTGTGGACAAGTTTATGTTGCCTGTTTCGTGCTGCTTAACTGTGCAATGGATTTACTACTGTTTCTTGGTACATGGCTGGATTACTCGTTCAGCAGTCTCTTATTTGAAATATTGGTAAAGGGTATAAGGACATCTATTAGCACACTGACAATATCCAATGAATTTCCCTAAAAAGTCCAGTTCACGAAACTGCTACCATTGTCGAGTCTGATAATGATTCTATGCACACAATTTACCCCTCGTGTTGAGAGGATGTTTTTGCGCCTCAAACCCGCAATGCCACACCTAGTTGTGCTAAGATCAGGTGAAACATTCAAATATTTTTATCNTGACAATATCCAATGAATTTCCCTAAAAAGTCCAGTTCACGAAACTGCTACCATTGTGGAGTCTGATAATGATTCTATGCACACAATTTACCCCTCGTGTTGAGAGGATGTTTTTGCGCCTCAAACCCGCAACGCCACACCTAGTTGTGTTAAGATCAGGTGAAACATTCAAATATTTTTATACCTCCTGCATTTCAAAATTTTTTTATCTTTATGTTTGGAACAACTCTCTAGGATGAACTCAATGACAACTTTATACCAGTCCTACCCTCCCATGAATTTCCACAAAAAAATCTAGAAACCTTATCTACAGCCAGAAATTAGCTTGTTTACAAAGAACTTCTAAGTTGTCAAACAGTTACACATTACATGCTCAAGTCAGAGACCCCNAAAATTTTTTTATCTTTATGTTTGGAACAACTCTCTAGGATGAACTCAATGACAACTTTATACCAGTCCTACCCTCCCATGAATTTCCACAAAAAAATCTAGAAACCTCATCTACACCCAGAAATTAGCTTGTTTACAAAGAACTTCTAAGTTGTCAAACAGTTACACATTACATGCTCAAGTCAGAGACCCTGCCAAACACATGCTTTCCATTCTTTATATTCTCTAACAGTCAACAATGCCACCAATCATAACCTTATGCAACACCAAGAAATGTTCACTACTATGTAGTATGTTGTTTCATGATGGAAAGCATAGTTCGAGAGGTCGCTCATCCTTGGACTATCACAACACCTATCTATGGGACTATCACACAGACTCCTCCCCTCTATATGGATAGAAGGCTATGCAATCTGCAGATTGATCAGATATGATTTTATGTAAACCACTGCTCTTTTTTTGGGCTCCCAGAGGAAGGGGCAGGGGCGGGGGAGGAGGGGGGGCAGAAATACAAATACTCATCTTCAATCAAGCAATTGTAGAAATAAAAGGGGTGTTTTTTTTTAAAAAAAAGAAAGAATTAATGAAAATATGTCGCGAAGCTGTCTACAAATATAGTGCAAAAGTTACATCTCAGACATATCACAGCATTCAAATATTTAAAAGTGGCTTCACTGTTTCAGTAAAACATCCAAACATTCGACAAGGCCACTATGTGGAAGGCATACCATAAAATTTCTGATTCTACCATTGAACCAGTTATTCGCTTAAATACAAAACGAAACTCTAGCTATCTTAGCGCAGCTTAATGAAGTCNTATTTAAAAGTGGCTTCACTGTTTCAGTAAAACATCCAAACATTCGACAAGGCCACTTTGTGGAAGGCATACCATAAAATTTCTGATTCTACCATTGAACCAGTTATTCGCTTAAATACAAAATGAAACTCTAGCTATCTTAGCGCAGATTAATGAAGTGNATTTCTGATTCTACCATTGAACCAGTTATTCGCTTAAATACAAAACGAAACTCTAGCTATCTTAGCGCAGCTTAATGAAGTCAGAGCTTAATTATGATAGATATAGCTAGTATTGGACAGTTACTGAACTAACATCACAAAATAAGCACCAATAGAACTAAACAAATACGCTACAGGGTAAAAAAAAGGTAACACGCAATTCAGCCGAGGCTTCAGGAAGCTAAATTGAGCATACAATACCTATCTCAGAAACTTACGCTACTTGTCACAGATACAATATGCTAATTTCATATTAAAATTAAGCTGGATGGCAATTTCAACTTCAAGCTAGGCATGCCAACTGAACAGACTGTATGTAAACATAGCCTACAGAAAGGAAGTAAAAGATTGTTATTATTTTTATTTTTGTCTACGCAGTCCTTTCGATAAATTTGCATGCTTCCTTAGTGGTTGGGGCATTGTGAACTGTGTTAACTAGTAGACCCTTGCAATGTTTATACTATGAGAATGAGAGGTTTTGGCCCATATCTTCAAGTTGTATGAGCTAGAGCAATACGTACCAGAACAATCAGAAAGCACTCACCATGGAAAAAAATACAACAACCAGAAAATAAATTCACATTTGAAATTAGACAAATGATTTAGATTAGCCATTGGTTCTTTACACCGAGAAGTTACATTATTCTGCACAAAGATTAATTGCAAGCAGGCTGTTCAATCCATAAGAGACTAAAATTCAAGAACCTCACCAGACTCTCTTCACATAGGATGGTCGGCAATTTTCCTCTTTCTGTACAACATTCTTCACATTTAAATCAGATCAGATTAAATCCTCATAATAGAGTAAGGAAACAGCATCGGGAATATCTTTAGGCAGGCTGTTTATGTAGAGATAGAACCGCAACATGTCCTCCCTTGACACTGTCTCTTGATCAACCACATCCTCATTGCATGTGAGAACCCACAAGTCCCCTGATTTCACTCTCTTCAAACTACCCCGGCAAAATGGGCACGACTCTGACTTCATGCTCCTGCAACAGAGATAGTGAGGGGAAAAGGAAAAAAAATTAACGACACCAAAAAAAATTTTCCAACATTGCGCATTAAAAATTAGCCAAATGGGAGACAGNCCACAAGTCCCCTGATTTCACTCTCTTCAAACTACCCCGGCAAAATGGGCACGACTCCGACTTCATGCTCCTGCAACAGAGATAGTGAGGGGAAAAGGAAAAAAAATTAACGACACCAAAATTTTTTTTCCAACATTGCGCATTAAAAATTAGCCAAATGGGAGACAAAATAAGGCACAAAAATGTTTATATTTACCAGTCACGATAGCAATTGATGCACATTGCATGACAACATTTGGGCAGAACCATTTTGGTGCAGGGCTCTAAGCAGATCCCACATTCATCATCTCTCTCCATGTCAGAGTTTGAATGCTTTCGCTCGTCATTTAGTTTCTTCCTGACAACCATCTCCCAGCCTTGACCTTCATCTTGGTAAATCTCGAGCTTTGATGCGTTATCATGGAGACGCTGAAGAGATGGTAGTATGACAGCTGCAATTTCATTCTGTTAGACTATGCAAAAATAAATATACCCCACAAAGCAAACAACAAAAAATCGACCACGCAATTATTGCACAACATTTACAAGTGAAACTATTTCCTTCATTGATATGAAAATGGCACCAACNCATCTCCCAGCCTTGACCTTCATCTTGGTAAATCTCGAGCTTTGATGCGTTATCATGAAGACGCTGAAGAGATGGTAGTATGACAGCTGCAATTTCATTCTGTTAGACTGTGCAAAAATAAATATACCCCACAAAGCAAACAACAAAAAATCAACCACACAATTATTGCACAACATTTACAAGTGAAACTATTTCCTTCATTGATATGAAAATGGCACCAAACATGTGATGAGATTAACTAAAGTAAATGTAAAAAATAACAGGTCAACTAGGCATCACACGGGCATAAAATAGAATATATTCGTTACAAATCCTATGACTAAGATAAATTGACTCTTCCCAAAAAAAGGGCTACATAATGAATTGAAGAATTTCATACCATAGAATTCTGTAATCGATGCTTTCCTTCCATGTGAAGTAAACATTGTCTCACCATCACGGCACACCTGAAAAGCATAAGGAATCATAAATTGAGAGCGAAAGCGAGTGTCTTACTTCGCTATAAAGAACAAATGAAGACCAACATTTCTTATCAAAAGAATGTAAGTAAGCAAGAAGGGAATTGACCTGGCATACAACTATGTGGAATAGGTTCGTATAACTTGGAAGTAAGCATGTACATGAGCGATCCATCCATTGTAGCAAAAACAAAACTATAGGTGCCAAAGGATTGTAGACCAATTTTATTTGAAGACATGCACCTCCTTTGCCTATCGGAACTGAAGCTGCCCTATAAACATCATTCACAGGAACCAACAAAGCACAATTATTTCAGGCAACCAGCCACAAAAAATCCTCCTAAAAGTTTAATCGCCTAATTCTTCACCATAAAGGCTCAAGTGAATTCACGAACTTAAAATTACAAACGAAAGAAAAATAAAATTTTAGATTCACCAATGAAACAGGAAAAAAAAAGAAGCAGCAAATAAATAGGCGTATACGAGTGTGCACACACACAAACTCCCTAAGAACTATCCGCTTCCCAAATTCAACAGCATGCTTATTGAATTTCAAATGTTTCAAATGGACATAGCAATTAAATGAGTGAACACGCCAACCCAAAATTCTATTAGGGAATCAATGATTCTTATTCGACCGAGTTAAAGCTAGCAACATGTCGATTAGGGTTGGTAAGAACTGAGGGACAATGCCCCTAACCTACCTACCAGTGAAGCAACTGGTCTGGTACTTGATCGGGTGGGGTGGTTTGGTTTCGTGCAACGCCATCGCAGCAGGAAGAGGCGGTTGTGTCAGCTGCGATAATTAATCATATTGATACTAACCATTCTCATTTTGTACGACATAATTGGGAATGTTAATAGTAACCATCCAAAGCATATACCTTTTTATGTATTTTTCATTTCGTAAATTCAACCACAACCCAACTTTAAGAAAGCGGAAAAAAATGTTTATTCAGGGAATTTCATACAGAACTGCAATCTTTCTGAATTTTAATATACAGCACAAAAAAGGCAACTTTACCCAAAGTATAGCAAGGCACTCAAAGATAAGCTCATCTGACTCATCCAATCTACTAACATCTTTCAAAATCAATGAATTCTCCCCCCATCCATCACTTCTTACATTGCGGTTTACCCCTAGTATATGTTAAAAGACAAATTTCTGTAGAAAAAACCTACAATATTTAATTAAATTTTCACATAATTTCAAATACAACTAATTTCTCTCTGTATGTCCACACATCAACCCATGAAATTAGCACAGAGNTAATTTCAAATACAACTAATTTCTCTCTGTATGTCCACACATCAACCCATGAAATTAACACACAGAGAGAGAGAGAGAGAGAGTACTCACAGCATATTGGCATGCTCAATATCAGCCTCGAGAACCTTGAGAGAGTCTTGACAAAAAGGCGACCCAGCTAGCTGATAATAACCCATCATCTCTCAAGACCTTTTTCTCTTTCTGGGTTTGTAGAGACAATGAATGATTGGCTACAAAACCCAGATGAATAAAACCAGCAGAGAGAGTCTGAGAATGCAGAGTAAGGTTTGGTTTGTGGAACAAACTGGTTATTCAAAGAGACCCAATCTCTCTCTTACTGGGTTTGTGGAGACATTGATTGGCTACAAAACCCAGATGAATAAAACCAGCAAAGAAAGTTTGAGAATGCAGAGAAAGGTTTTGCTTGTGGAACAATCTAGTTTTTTCAAAGAGGCCCCAATCTCTCTTTAAGAACTGAAAGATGAGAGAGAAGGAAAATGACTTGGTCTTTACTTACAGTTTTGAATTTTGAGCGTTTTTGGTCTTTGACTGTGTTCACTACATTGGTTGAGCGACTATGAAGGAGGAGATCGGGAGTCAAATCTTTTTGGTCATAGTATGATTTATAATATTTTTTTCTCTTGTTTTCGGCTGATGAAAATGACCATCCCCACCATTGACCGGGTATTTTATCTTTTAATGTTGGTTACCATTTCCGATATAGAAAAAAAGGGTTAATTTCAAATGACTAATGTTATTTAGATTTAAAAATTTGACATAATTTATTAATATAATAATATAATTTTATTAGAATCATTAGATGAACAGAAATTTTTAATATTTGATAGAGCTCACAACTAATTCAAAGGTCATAGTGAATTAGGTCAGCAAATTAAATCACTAAATTAAATCTCAATAGAATTACTTATCTCAAATTGCATCCTGAAAGATCTTTTGAATTTTAATTTGTATCCTCATAGATAAAAAATATTAATATACACCCTCAAAAATAAAAATTTGTATCAATGTGCACCTCAAATTAATAGTCGTCAGTTTGCTGTCTAGAACTAAATAGATAAATTACACTTAAATTCCTTCATACTTGTCACTTAATCACCTAGATCCCTTACATTTAAAATATTATATCTACATCCCTTTTGAATCCAAATATGAATAAATGTTCTCCCAATTAGGCATCCAAATAATTCTGTTTAAATAATGTATTGCATTGGATATAAAGAACACTATATAAATAATTGCATGATATTGAATATGCAAATGGTAAACTTGATTTTGAACTTTAGAGTATAACGACCTACAAAATAAAGGATAGTATGAAAATTATAAATTTTTATTATGATGAAATTATATTTTTTAACGGTTATATTAACGGATATTAATTACAATGGGGTTATTTGTTGCACGCGCACAAACGTCAGGAGGTAAATGAGTAATATTATAAATATTAGGAGGTCCAAATAATTAAGTGACAAGTATGAGAGATTTAGATATAATTTATCCATTTAATTTTAGACGACAAACTGAAGGCTGTTAGTTTTAGGTACGTATTGATACAAATGTTTATCTTTGAGGGTGTAAATTGAGATTTTTTATCTTTGAGGGTATAAATTAAAATTTAAAAGATTTTTTGGGGTGTAATTTGCTATTAGCCCTAAAAATGATTAAAAAAAAAATTGATTTGGTATAGACTTGAAAAAACTCAAATTTAAAAGAAGCGGAACTCAAATTTAAATAAAGATAAATTTATATTTAAAAAAGAGTAAATTTTGACTCTTAAACCTTTGAAGAAATGTGTAATCTCACAATTAAAGGTTTAGATATGGATTTAAGTAAAAAATGAATCTGCCTTTATTTAATATGGGTATGAATCTAACATTTAAATTTTTTTTTAAGAATTTTTTATCCAAATTTAAATTTTGGTTTAAAAAGAGGAAGAATTGGAGATGCTCCTCAGTGGAAATCAGTAAAGTAGTAAACCCTTTTGTATTACAATGACTATTTTACCCTCGTAGTATGTAGAGCTGTAACTATTACAATTAATTAGTAATTAGCATAATAGTAAACACACTATAGTGATTCTCTAAAGATTAACTGATAATTGAGAAAGATCTTGTTAAGATTAACCGATAAAAAGAGAGAAATTTTGATAAGATTAACAACTAATTTTCTAATTCAACAATTAATATTAACAAAATGGGTCGATTGAAACAAATTAACTTGTTACATTGGCAATGATGAGTTAGTTTTTTTTTGGTTATAGGATATTTAGGCTTGTGTTAACTATTCTCTCAAGTTCAGCGGCTGAGTATCATAGTTTGAGTTAAATTATAGCATATCCTTTAACGAATAAGAGTGACTAGCTCTTCTGGAGTGTGGAAAAATAATTGAACATGAGACCTCTAAATTATTTAATATCAGACCCAATTACCAAACTCCCCCTAAAGATTATGAGTTAACTTAGTTGTGTGGTTTATACAATTGTTTGACAAATCAAGTGTACATTGATACAATTATGGAGTGAGTAAGAGGATGAAGAATTCTTAGCCCCTTATCATGTGGCCAATTGATTCTATATTTGGCAGCAATAATTGACAAGAAAATGTGGAAATAAACACCTACATTGAATATAAAAAAAGGACAATATCCTTGTGTGGTTGATGCAATTGGCTGACAAATCACTTGGTTGCTTATTATTCTTCACATTATCCTTGTGTGGATTTCCACATTATCTTGAAATTTGGGAATAAGTTTGAAAAAAATTGTTCTACTTTGCATTCTCTCACTTGGTTGCTTATTATTCTTCAGATTTTTCCAATATGGATTTAAACAAAAAAACTTTTAGTTGTGAATAATCATCAGTCACAAGTCATGCACAATAATTAGTTGGAGGACGTAAATTAATGGTCTCGAATTATAAATTTTTATAATCTTTCCATATAGGACAATTATAGATCATACATGTCAAATTTATTTTAGGTCTTTAGATTTTTTCAATCATCCATGGTTTAAATTACGTGAATTTTAATTGTGAATAATAATCACTCAAAAGTCACAAGTCATGAACGATGATTAGTTGGAGGACATAAATTAAGAGTCTTGACTTATGAATTTTTACAATTTTTTTCATATAAGGTGACTGGAAACTCATACATGCCAAATTTATTTTGGATCTTCAAATTTTCCCAATCATCCATGATTTAAACTACGCAAATTTTTGTTATGAATAGTCATCATTCACAATGATTAGTTGGAGAACGTAAATTAAGAGTCTCGACGTATAAATTTTTGGGTTAATTCCCTCTAGTTTAAAATTGAATAATTTATCCCCATAATGTTTGAATAATTTTTAATTAACTCTTACCATTAGTTGTCCATTGTTAAAAATGACTTAGATTAATCAAAAACCCACAACTACCTTTATCTTAATATTTTGTATAAAAATAAAAATGAAAAATCAAAAGAAAAATAAAAAACTCAATTCGAGTGAAAACCCAACTCCGGGTGAAAAACCCAAATCTTTTCCCCCTCCACTGAAACCCACCCCCTCCCTTCCCTCAACTTCCTAATCCTTCCCACCCTTCCATTGAAACTGAAAATCCACCTCCACCATTCCTTTAACTCCCTAATCCCTTTCCATCAACTGAACTAAAACTCAAATCGCTCCCACCCCCTAGCCCCAATGAGACCGAAACCCACCCCTTTCCCTTTACTCTATTGAAATTGAAACCCATCCCCACTAAAATTTGTCCCCCTTCACTGTGGATTTTGTGGTTTTGTGGCTAGGTGGTTAAGTAGTGGTTTGGGTGGCTAGGTGGTTGCTACAATGGTTTGTGGCTACGTTGGTAGCTGTGGGGGTTGTTGGCTAGTTAGCTGGGTGGTGCCTGCGGTGGTTTGTGGTTGAANTTTGTGGCTACGTTGGTAGCTGTGGGGGTTGTTGGCTAGTTAGCTGGGTGGTGTCTGCGGTGGTTTGTGGTTGAGTGATTGGGTGGTGGCTACACTGATTTGTTGGCTGATTGATTGAGGCTACGGTGGTTAGTAATTGCGGTGGTTGTGACTGGGTGATGGCTATGGTGGTTTGTAGGCTGGTTGATTGTACTTATGTTGGTAGCTGTGGTGGTTGGTGGTTGGTGGTTGCGATGGGTTGTAGATGGTGGCATCAGAGATTTTGGCTCAATTGAACAAAGAAAAAAGAAAAAAAAAATAGAGATGAATAAAGACCAAGGGTACAAAAGTAAACTTAAAATTTTTGTCTCATTAATCAGTCAACTTGTTTATTTTAGAACTTGAAGGGGGTAAGTTATTCAATTTTAAATCAGAGGGTCTTGATTGAAATAAGACCCAAAGTTCAAGGGAGTATTTTATAATTAGCCCTAAATTTTTACACAATCTTCTTATACAGGGCGACCGTAGTCTATTTTGCGTTTCCCTTGAAAATGATCATTGATGAAGGAGTACCTTGCCTCACCTAACAGGAACTTTTGGATTCAAAAGTCAAGAAATTGGAAATTGGCGTGGATGTGGAGACCAAGAAATGTTCAAAACACTACCGATATGACTTGGTGGATACCTAGAAATGGTCAAAATGAATGGTGTTTTGTTTTGATAATTAAAAGAGTGGAGTGGATAAAAGAAAGTGGTTAGAGACTATTTCGATAGATTTTTACTAGTGAGATTATGAGATTTTTGACCACGTGTCATTACTTCTCTCAAAAATAAACTTAACTAAGATAATATAACGATCAACTATCACACTTCAATATAGACTCCAAAAATGAATGGCGTTATTCCTTTGGAAATTTCTCAGCACTGGATCAACCAACTCAACCACTTCAATAACTAGCTATTACAAGTCCTTCAAGTCAAACATTTTAGCCATGCGTAGGTGCATCACCACACTATAAAATTGTTCCCCTTGACTTGGTTCGAAAAAAAGTCGTCCGTCTTCGAATGGGATTTAAAATAATAAATATTCACTGATCAAATAATAATAATAAATATTCATTAATAATTACTTTTTTAAATTAGCGTATTTCAACTAACACAATTATTCTTTGTTCGTCGAAATTGCATAAGATGATGGTCAATAGATGATAATTTGAGGGAAATCTCTCACAAAATATAATTTTTTATATATAAAAAAATGTGGATAAAATGATAAATTATTTATGTAGTTATCATGGTATTAATTAATGATCATTTGTTTTTAAATAAGATAATACTTATTAACCACGTCATGCTACTTTCAAAGTTCTCTGATAAACTTTTATTTTACCGAATACTAATGAGGTTTTTTAAATGAATGCAGATGAATTTATAATAACAATAGATTAATGAGTTTTTGATTTAATAGTATTTCTTATCTTATAAAAATTTTATTTTTTTAAAATCAAGAGTTCAAGTCCCCTTTCCCATTTCCTTTTCCCTTCCCCTTCTCCTTCTCCTTCTCCTTCTCCTCCCCCTCCCAAAATTAGACTTCAGCTTTCATATTTCTCAATTATTTTCCATGAAAAATTGTTTCAACCACATGTCCATGTTTAACTCCAGGTCGGCT